GATTACCAAAAACATCATATATCTTTTTAAATCCTCAAAACAGGTTATCATTTCCAAAACTGTTTTAAAGAAGCAATCTCTTCTTTATCTTTTCCAAAATAGTTTTTAATACTCAAACATATAACAATAACACCTTTAAACTATCAAAATAGTTTTCACCATCTTTTCTTCAAAACCAATATCAAAACCCAACAGTTTATATAACCAAATATATAAAGGTTATAGTTATAAAAAACTCACAGTGTATAATCAACGGTATTTTTAAAACTCACAGTTTATAATCAACAGTATTTTTAAAACTCACAATTTATAATCAATGGTAGTTTAAAAACTCACCTTAACAATCACAGATTCTGTAGTTATAAAACACACAGCAAATCACAAGTTCTTCAAACAGCTTTGAACAAAAGATTTGTTCAAAAACACTTCTCACCGCCACAACACTTTTTTTCTCTTTCAACAGATTTTTCTTCAAATGAAATGATAAGATAGAATCTTATCTTTTTATTTCTTTAAATTCTCCCACCATGGCGGTGAAGATTATTTTAATTATAAAAGTCATAGGCGGTGAAAGCTTTAACCAATAGAAAWAACCTTGGGTGGTGGGTTTTTCATTATAAAATTCATGGTTTCTTAACCATGAAGGTATAAGTTTTTGAATATAATAATGTTTCCAACAGAATAACTTATCACAAATATGCACCACCTTATGTATGTTTCACACCACATGCATACATGTATAAATCATATATGTCATGCCATCTTTTCACATATATGCATGCACAGTATCACGTTCACATAAATAGTTCATGCATTTCTACTTAGATATGCATATTTCACGTAATTCACATAATAAACATGTATAAATTACCTCAACCTAGGTTGTCTCAAACCTGGTTATAACATTCTTCCCCGCTTAAAAGAATTCAGTCCCGGAATTCACTTATTCAAATAACCACGGATATTGGGTTTTCATATCAGATTCTAATTCCCAAGTTGCTTCTGAACCCTTATGAAAATGCCACTACACTTTTACTAAACTAATCTTCTTGTTTCTCAATACTCTGGTCTTTCTGTCAGTTACTGCATCTGGTGTCTCGATAAAACTCAGTTTATTGTCGAGTTTAATCTCAAGGAGTGGTATTGCTAAGCTTAAGTCTGCCAAACGTTTGCGTAGATTTGATACATGAAAGGTGTTGTGAATTAAGCGTAGTTCTTCTAGTAATTGCAACTGATAAGCTACCCGTCCAATTTTTTTGCAGATTCTGAATGGTCCAATATACCTTAGACTAAGCTTACCTTTCTTCCCAAATCTCATAACACCTTTCCATGGAGATACCTTTAACATTACAAAGTTACCTACGTTATATTCAATCGGTTTTCTTCGTTTGTTGGCATAGCTTTTCTGTCGATCCTGGGCAATTTTGATTTTTGCTCGAATCTAGTCAATCTCTTCAGACGTTACTTACACAATATCGGGACCTGTCAACTGTTTTTCACCTACCTCATTCCAACACAACGGTGTTCGATATTTTCTTCCATACAGGACTTCATAAGGTGCCGCTTGGATGCTGGAGTGATAACTATTATTGTAGGAAAATTCTATCAACGACAAATGTTCTTCCCATGATCCCCCGAAGTCGATGACATAAGATCTTAACATATCTTCGAGAGTTTGGATGGTTCTTTCACTTTGTCCATCTGTTTGTGGGTTATAATCCGTACTTAATCTGATTTGTGATCCCAAAGCTCTTTGCTAACTTTCCCAGAATTTTGAAGTAAAGCGACTGTCTTTATCAGATATGATGGACAATGGAACTCCATGTCTAGTCACAATTTCTTTGATATAGATTTGAGCCAATCTTTCCAATGAATAAGTCTCTTTCATTGGTAGGAAATGTGCAGACTTTGATAGACGGTCCACTATTACCCATATTGCATCAGAAGCTTTTGGAGTTCGGGGTAATTTCATGATAAAGTCCATCGTAATATGATCCCATTTCTAGATCGGTAATTCCGATGATTGTAGATTCCCATAGGGTCTCTGATGCTCTATTTTAACTTGCAAACAAGTTAAGCATCGTTCTATATATCTTGCGATGTCTTTCTTGAGACCTGGCCACCAATAAAATGTCTTCATATCCTTATACACCTTGTTGGTACCTGTGTGGATGGAATAACAAGACCTGTGGCTTTCATTTAGGATGGTTTCTCGAGTATTTCCATCAG